ATCATTTTCTCCTAACTTTGATTTCGAACGGAATTGAAAGCAATGACAAAAGACATCTCTTCCTTTTTTTTCCACACTTTCTGTTCAACCAAGTCTCTCTCAAGTTTGTCCAATGATCTTGTCATATAAAAGTTTTCACCTAATGTTCTGCTTTATTTCCCTTATGCCCTTATGGTTAGGTATGATGATTTTCTTGTTTGGAATTTTCCAATTGACAAATTCTAAAAAGGAAGCTTATTTCTTTTATTATTATATCATTCTGATGTCATCATCATTGCAGTGGATTGATTTATTTTTTTATTTAAATAAATAATTAAATTTAAAAAATAAAATAATTTTTTTATCTTTTTAATAAATAAATAAATAAATAATTTTTTTCCTCTTCTTCTCTATTTCCCTCCATTCAAGTATTCTCTGAGTGAATTCAATAGAATATATTTCAAACCTTCACAGAGAGTGAGTCAATAACTTGTAATTCCGGTCGATGATGATAAATATCAAGGCTTGTTTCTCAAAAAGTAAGTTGTCCCACTTTAAATTATCATTTTTAACTCTGATTTTTATACCTTTTAGCCCTTGCAGTTTTCCCATTCGCTCATCATCCAGTCATCTAAATGATCCATTCCATCTTCCCCTCTCAAGCTTTGTTCTTAGCAACCCTTCTCCTCCTCCTCCTAGTACTCTTCTGAGCACTACTCGCGGGGTAGATGAGCGGTTCTCCAGTTGTTCTTCTTCTTTCAAATGTGGGAAGCTCAGTTCCATTGGTTATCCTTTTTGGAAGAATGACCAACCTGATTACTGTGGCCATCCGGGTTTCACACTTGAAGATTGCAAACAAGAAGACATCACTATAACCATACTCTTCCAGAAGCATCATGTCCTGGACATCAATCAGGACATCCAAATCCTAAAAATTGCAAGGATGGATTTCTCCAAACGCATCTGTCCGGACATATTCCTTAACACCTCCATGGACTCCGGTCTCTTCAGTTGCACCCTTAACGACAAAAACGCCACCCTATTATACGACTGCGCCACAACAAGTGATCCAAATAAGCAATCCAAAGATCAATTCCGCTGCCCAGTTGATAAAATCCCTCGTGATGCTTACTTTGTATCTCCAAATACAAGGTTGGGAAATGAAGAGTTCAGGAGATCATCCAATATCAGTGTTGTGATTCCTGTAATGGAGATGGAGGTCAAAAGGTTTGTGAATCATGAATTGAGTGTTGGTCAAAAGGTTAATCAGATGGGTTTCAACCTCCTGGAGAAGAAAATGGGATTGGATTTTGCTTTGAGTCATGGTTTTGATGTGGAGTACAACATTAGTGTGGTTTTATGTGATCGGTGTGAGAAGTTAGATGGGATATGCGAAATCAGTTCAAATTCAGTTTAGTATCTACAAACAACATGCAAGTGTCGTCCAGGTATGGATTGTCTATGCAAAACCATTTGTTTTTAATTTGGCGTAGAGCTTACGGCTTAGGATTATTTTGGTTGGCATTTGCATTCAAAACACAATTGAATCGATAACATAGCTTCTTGAAAACTCACTGCTTGACATTGTTTTGGTCTTCTTCGAACAAGTCAACGTGACTAGCAGCTTTGGTTGACTGGACTTTTAAACTCAACCCATTGGTGCAAAATTGAAATGACAATTTGCCCACACGCCCATGATCCTCCTCTATAGTTTTTTCACCCAACTGGGTGGCGACCTAGTAAAATTGGCCGGAGCAGAGATCACTGAGGGGCCAATTGCTTCTCCCTCTAAGTGAATGAAAGTTGAAACTACAATTTTAACCATCGAATCATACGGCACATCATAAGATCGAAAACTGATAGGAAAAGACTGGAAATGAGGGAAAATACTTGAGTGCAATAGCATACTACACCAATCCCAATCAATAGAGACCTGATAGATCATATAATTTAGAAGAAAACATCACTCTTTCTCAGTTTCCTTGAAAATCATAATCCTATTTAATACATTAATCCATTCACTTTCACTGCTCCTATGATGAAGAAGAAATCAGAGATTTTATTTCTGGAGTTGAGGACGAAGTAGGTCGTAGAGGGAAGGTTGAGGAACTTGAGGTTGAAGAGACCAATTTTTTTTCAGAAAGTGCATTAAGCGTCTAATTCAGAACTTGGAAATAAGATGAAGCTCAAAAATAATGCACCTTAGTTTATATTTATTTATAGTAGTAAATGCAGAATGAAATTGATAAAAAAAATATTGTCCCAATACACGGTTGGTACTTATGGTATTAACGACTTTGATCCTTTTTTGGTTCAAGTTAGGTATTTCTTTCTCACTAGGGATGATGCTTCATAAATTGACAATTCCTTCCAAAAGAAAGATTTATCCTTTGTTCCTGGTCTGCTAAGGCCTAGTTAGCAAAACTATCAGTATGTTCATTTGCAAACTCTCTAGTTTTCCAGCTTATATATGGTAATACCGTTTTGAAATGTTCCGCTAATTAACTTGGTTGGCTTTGTTGTTGTATTGATGGGCTTCAAGGAAAGTTAAAAATTGACCTCAAGTCTAGTCATTTACAAAAATCATTCGAGCTCAATACCAACCTATCAAGATTCAAAATACAAAGAGTGATTTGAAATAGAATTAATTTATCTGTTATACATATATATATATATATATATCAGCACAATTTATGTGATGTAAGCAAAAAGAGAAAGAAATTGAAAACATTCTCCATATCCTAGATTGTAATTAAATGGATTTGTTGAAACAATTTATCTGATGAAAGAGAATTATGTTATTGCAGGAAGGACTTATGCTCTCAAAACCAGAATTCTGATTATAGGTATGCATACATGATTAGTACTCTTATGATACATGATTTGGTTCAAATTGTCTGCCTATTTCTCATAGCCATAGTATAGTCCAAGCATTGTTATGCAATTAAACTTACTAAACCTTAGCAGTAGATGAATCTAGTAATGCTATAATGGTCTTCGTATGTGGATATTGGTAAAGTTATGTTAATTATAATCATAGTCTAAAAGAATAGTATTGCTACATATAGTTGGAGTCTGGAGAAGAGTATATACACTTCAATTGACGTTTGAAAATCTTGTACTTTTTAAATAGCTATTGCCACAACAAGC